GGTGCATCAGTGTCAAATGATAAAAATGTACAGTCGAAGAAATAGCTCACTTTCAACATGGACGACGACTCCATCTCCTCCATGCTCAAATATTTTATGTCCTTCGCCAAATTCAATGGCCAAATCACATACATTTCAGTGATTGCACGTATCACCTTTATTGCCAAAACAATATTAATTTGGTTTTAACCATGCACCAATAGCAGAGTGTCATGTCACCAAGTATTTTGCCCTTGATTAATTAGGTATGATCACTGCACTTTAGTCTTCCTAATGATTCCTGTTGTATTCTGCGTTTTTCATTAAGTGGTGTGAGGTGATTGATAATCTAACAGCAAAATAGACCTTGCACCCAGAAATAATCACTGCTGTCGGCTTCAAAGTCATGGTGCCATTCCGCAGACAACTCCACAGGACCTGCAACTTGACTCAAGCTACCGATACTTGCTTCAATAAGGATAGTTGTTCTCATCATAGTTTTTAAACCCGACCCGGTGGCTGACCCGGTCCAAGTTCCGGGTTCCGGGTTTTGACCGGGTCGAACGGGTCGGTCGGGTCAATTTCTATTTAAAAAAAAATTCAAAACGACGTCGTTTTAATAAAAAATAAATAAAAGTCAACGGGTTACCACCGGGTTTTTGACCGGGTTTTGCCGGGTCGTCCGGGTTTCCGGGTCAACCCGCCGGGTCGGGCCGGGTCATAGCTTACCTTATTTTTTCATCAACCTACATGTCCTGAATGAGTTAATAATCTTGGTTTTAATAGAAATTTGTAAGGGAATAATTAAAAGAGAGGAATTAGCACTGTCTCAAATCTAAAATATGTCAAGAATCCAATTACTTTTTTGAAATTGCAAAGTTCAATGTTTGAATAGATTATCGAACCACCTCATGCTGCTTATAAGAAACTGAGTTTGTTCTTTTTCTTTATTTATTAAACTTTATGTTAAAGAAGTCCTTCAAAATATATATTATTAATCGTTAAATTCATGTATATGAATTTCAGTCAAGCGCTTTAGTGTTGCTGTAACGTGCAACATGAATAAAAACTAGGGTTTTCAAGTTTAAAAAACACAATTCTAAACAATGTTGCAAGCTCAAGGGAATAATTAAAAGAGAGGAATTAGCGCTGTCTCAAATCTAAAATATATCAAGAATTTAATTAGTTGTGATGCGCGCAAGCTGACCGGACACTCATATTAATTTAAAAAAAAGGAGAATCCAATTACTTTTTTGAAATTACAAAGTTAATGTTTGAATAGATTATCAAACCACCTCATGCTGCTTATAAGAAACTGAGTTTGTTCTTTTTCTTTATTTATTAAACTTTATGTTAAAGAAGTCCTTCAAAATATATATTATTAATCGTTAAATTCATGTATATGAATTTCAGTCAAGCGCTTTAGTGTTGCTGTAACGTGCAACATGAATAAAAACTAGGGTTTTCAAGTTTAAAAAACACAATTCTAAACAATGTTGCAAGCTTTTTTTTCATTGATCAGCGCTATTATATTAATATTGATTGAAGTGGGGCTAGGGCACGTTCAGTCCAGCTGCTTCGCCATAGAGGTTTGGGCCAATCACGTCCTACAAAATGAGTGCCAATGAAACATCGTTTGAATAATAAGCAGGACAAAAAGAATGATGATCCTTGTGGTTGTCACTACTCTTGATCGAGAAGAAATATGAAGAAGGAGAAACACATGCTGTCTGGTTTTTGGTCGGGGAGTGTAAGATACAAGCTTCTGGGCCAACGAAGAGCCTCCACGATAAGTGTTCTTGAAGCTTTTTAGAAGATGAGCAATTAGTATAATGGTTGACCAGAACAAGCTCCCTTTTTGTAGAACAATGATGGCACCCAACAAAACCACCATAATCCCATCTTTTTATCTGTTTTTTTTCATGCAAAGATAAGATAGAAATCCTGAAAAGGTGAGCAGAGAACGAAACAACCCTCCCTCCCCCGTGCCGTCCTCCACTTAAAAGAATTGCTGCAATTAAAATCTTGCACACGGTGGTTGAAAGCATTACTCCTATATACATATACATTCATGAAAAGTTATTAAACTCGGCTTTCTACTTGGTCCATCACCTAGCCAAGATTAAGGTCATGGATTGCGTTAAATAAAACAATACTGTTATTAAGCTCTGGTTTTGACCAGATTGCTTGCTTCATGACCCAATCAAGATTAAGATCATAGATTGGGTTAAATAAAACAATGTTGTTATTAAACTTGGATTTTAACTGAACTGTTTGGATCTAACCCAGTTAACTTCTATTTATATTTTTAACGTGATCCAAGCTAGATTTAACACAACATTGTTTATAGTCATGGCTAAAAATAAAGCATGAGAATTGAGAAGTTCTATTGAAGCTGTAAGCAGAGAGAAGATATAATTAGGAATTGAAAACAATGTTCAAAGAGAATGTGAAAGGGGGGCTAGCTAGGTCCAAGATGCTATGTTGACATGGCTCCAATCAATTGACCGGCATTTAATTTAGAGTGAGGCAGTTTCTAATTCTTTGTAAAGTTTGATCGGAACGACATGAGAACCTTCATTGTCATCATGAATTTATGATCCACACCCTACTTTTAAAAATAAAAGAATTGAAAAAAGATGGGTGGACTAAAGACCAAATCAAGCACATTAACTACGCATGATCTAATAATCCCACCCAAATCTAAAATTGGGTGTTATATCAATCTGCTTTTTTGAAGACTTGGCTTTTCTATCCTTTACTCCTGGTTATAGTCCTTCCTAACTATTTTGTGTCAAGCTTTTTTGGGCTTCTTGTCTCTTAAATTCATAGGCCTCTTTTCTCTTCATCTCCGCTACCTCATTCCTCCATCCACGCTTTGTGTGAGGAAGCAAGTTAGAATCCCAAATTACAAACGAATACCAATGTTAAAGCTCGTTATAAGCCCTTGCAAATTCCCGTCATGCAGGGCTTTACTTTTTGCGATGAGTTAGGCAATCTAGGCTTGGCCCCTTCACCTTCATGTAGATTTGTCCTTATGAGTCGGGCCTTATAGGCTTGGCCTTTCTGTGAACTTGGCCCTTCTATCTCTCCCAGGCTCTTCTAGATTTCTTGTCTCACTCCCCTTTTAAATTCAACACAAACCTTTGAGAAAACAAAATTGATACTCGTACACTTCACAGAGAGATAAAATGAAATTAACTCATATTTTGAAATGCTCATGGAGTAAATACCAATATTTAATCAATAAGTTCGAAGAGAGAGAGAGAGAGAGAGAGAGAAATATAAAGAGGAAGAGAAATGAGTTCATAAAAAAAATATATATATATATTTTTACCTCGACATAAAAATATTATTTTTATTTCTCTCCTCTGTGTTTTTCTCTCTTGTTGAATAAGTATTGATAACCAGTTTCTTAATACCATAAAATTTCTTGTAACGTTGGATGCATCAATTAAAAAATATAATTTTACGAGAAGACTCGCTCTTGAACCTAATAGGACACGAGAAATGACAACATTCCACTTGAATTATGCTAACAAAGAATATGATTAGCTTAACTTAACTCATGCTTTCTTTTCGGCGTGAAGGATTAGCTTAACTTAGCTCATGCTTTCTTTTCGGCGTGAAGCACAATCCTGCGTGTCGAGCATAAATAAAGTTGGGCAATTTGAGATTTTCATCATATTTTAAAATTTTGAGGGGGCCATGATAAAGAGATATCAACCCCTCTTTGATTTTGATCGCTATGAACAGCAAAGCTTATATGAGTTTGTTTTGGAATCTCAAAAAGAAACCGAGCCAGCCATTTCTCTAAAAATGCAGGTCCATCGTAGGCATACATGCCATTCTAGTTGACCAAAGCTCTTTTACACGTTGACGTCACATATGGGTAGCGCCACTTATAGAGCCCGTATTCTCTTGCGGCCCTTCTTCTGCGCCTTTAGAAATTACGATATCTGGGTTTGGGTTTATTGAGAGTTTTGAAACCCTGACTCGACGATAAGTTAACCTAGAATCTAATTAACTTGGAGCAGAATTAAACCGGATTGAAAAAAAACAATAGGAAAAGAAAAAGTTCAATATAACTTGGTTGATTGACCTGACAATCCGGCTGATCGAATAAGACCTTATTAAAAAATAATTGTAAACTCATTAACTTTTATTTTTTTATCAACACAACGGCATTTTGATTTTTTTAAAAAATAAAATTTAACTAACACAATGGCATTTTGATTTTTTAAAAAAATAAAATTTAACCTGGTTTTTAAACGGACCGGCCACCAAACCGAGTCTTAAAACTATGGTTTCATTCAAGGGTAGGCTGTAAGCTATAACAAAAACAACGTCAATGTGTTAATAAAACAAGACACGGAGCAATTTGAAGATCATGCAACACAATCCATTTACTGCTGAAACCCTATCAACTTCATTCTCAATTGGCACAGCCCCCCCTTCCAATCGAATTGTTCTTCATTACATGTCAAGATGGATTAGGTTGAATAAAGCTTGCAAGTACGGAATTGATTTTGGTTGCCCTTTCAATAATTCAAGCCAATGCCATGCATGGTAGAAACGATTAGGACCCGAAAAGACAGATTTCAAGTACATGATCTTGCCTGCAAATGCCATCCTAACCAGACCTCGGAAAGATCTCAGGGACACAGGTCATACTGTAAGGAAATTACACAACTTTTTGCAGTGATGTTTAACAAGATTTCACCCAACTATTCAATCTGAAACACAATTCCCATCATTGACATGCTAGCATCCCTGGCCAAACAAAGACACTAGAAAAGATATTTATTATTGGTATGGGCGAGTTTGTAGGAAAATAGCATTAGGATTTGTGCAGGACCTCCTTTTGGTATCAAACGAGCATAAAATCCATCAAGTTCCCAGCCAAAAAATTGTCCGTAAGGGAAGAAAAAGAAAAAAGAAAGGGTAGGAGACCAAGGCTCCAAGCAACACAAACAGGAACTCAAATTCAGAATTAAAACAAGGGTCAAGACCAGGGTTAGAAACATAATACCATAGCTTCATATTAAACATAAAGTGAAATCACACGAAATGCAAATGTTAAATTATTAGAATACAGCAGTTCATATTAGAATAACACAGTAGACCTGATAGTAGAAACACATTAATGACCCACCTAAGCAAACAAATAGAACCAAAATGAACAAACATCAACCTTTAGGCCCTTTCTCCACGAATTCTCCTGGCAAGTTGGATATCCTTAGGCATGATGGTGACCCTCTTGGCATGGATAGCACAAAGATTAGTATCCTCAAACAAACCAACAAGATAGGCCTCTGCAGCCTCCTGAAGCGCAAGAACAGCATGGCTTTGAAACCTCAAATCCGTCTAAAACAAAGAAAGAAAAATCAGAATGATCTTTAGAGAATTAAACATGAATAGGGAGAAACTGCAGTCATCATAGGGAATTATTACCTTGAAATCTTGTGCAATTTCACGGACAAGACGTTGGAAAGGTAACTTCCTGATCAAGAGTTCAGTACTTTTCTGGTACTTACGGATCTCACTGTTAAAAAGAAATGGATTTACAAGCATAAACCATCATAAGAAGAAACACAATAAAATCGTAACTAGGAAATAATGCTTAGAGAAGGAATGAAACCCTTACCGGAGAGCTACAGTTCCAGGACGGTAACGATGAGGCTTCTTGACACCGCCAGTGGTGGGAGCAGACTTTCTTGCAGCCTTCAAATTCAAAATAAAAGATAAAGAGTTAAAACTCATAGCAACATTACAAAAACAACTAGCCTCTCTAAGCAATTGATGTCAGGAGGCAGGTCACCGATTGGGTCCAATCAATGTCTACCACCATAGCTTTTGGAGAGGTAACAAAAACCATAAATCATAAAAATTCACACTACTAATTGAGAAACAATTCATTCTCATTGCACTACTTTTATAAATTGGAAATACAAATAACCACTATTGTAAACCTCGATTGACATTGTATATTCAAGCAAGGTTTCAGATATCATTAAATCCAACATATATTAATAAAATATCCTATAAATTGACTTTGTATATTTTCCCTTTATCTGTCTATATGAGAGAAGGACAAGGGCGTGCCTTGGTGGCGAGTTGTTTGCGAGGAGCTTTGCCACCGGTGGATTTGCGTGCGGTTTGCTTAGTACGAGCCATTTAGACCTGAAATTGGAAGCGAAGAGTATTTAGGCTTAAATCGAATTATTATAAACTGGGACTGAAGAGAAAATTCAAGGAATTAGGGTTAGGGTTAGGGTTTCGGTTACCTGTCGGGATGGAGGATGAGGAAGAGGAACAGAGGGGGGTCCTCAGTTTTATTATTTCGAATTTTTGAGCGTGAGGGAAATTTGGGGAGGTTTAGTTTTTATAGGGAGAAGTAATAAGTCTCTAAACGACGGCGTAGGAACAAATCATTGGCAAGGAGAATTACTCTCATGACCTTTACGATTTATTAGAAGTCTCGACTCCTCCTCTTTTTTCTTTGCATGCCACCAGCATTTCTCTCTTTTAAAAGTTAAAATTGTTTGTATTGTTTTCACCTATATGTGGAAGCATTTCAAAAGAATATTATTTTGAAAAATAATATTAAATTTATTTTTTAATATTTTTTATAATTTTAATTTATTAATGTTAAAAATTTAAAAAAATATAAAAATAATTTATAATGTATTTTACAGTAAAAAACACTATACACTATAATATTAAAAATAAAAAGATAAGAATGCACTATTATCCATAATTACAAATTTTAAATGATACCTTTTAATTTTAATCATGATTATTAAACTCAATCTAATAAGTAAATTTAGAATCTAACTTAGATTGGATTTCATAATAACGATTAAAATTTTAAATTAACTCATAATCTTGTCAATCCGATAAAAACTTAATGAAAATTCTATTAATTTTATTAAAAAATGATTAAAAATTTATGCATGCACAAAATAATTATCATCTCGCAACATGTCTTTGAATTCTAAAAGAATTATAATAGAAGTAAATCTACTGACTAGCTAAACCAAATCATAGGTGGATTTTGATAGGTTTACCAAATTATGTGACGTTTTCTTTTTGTAAACATTGGCCATGGCATTGCTTTAGCTTATAGATAGACAAGGGTAGATTTGAAATGGATGATTTAGATATCCACCAAACCAATTATAAGCGTCTTTGAACATGTAACCAATTTGGAATCTATTGGAGAATATACTCCAAATTCGGAATCACAGGGATAGCAAATTATTCTAAACCGAAACCACAGGAATCTAACTCAAAATATATATTTATATTATATAAATATATATATATATATAGAATATTTAATTTTTAATACACACACACACACTCTTTTACTTTAATATTAATATAATTAATATAATCTTTACTTTAATATTAATATAATTAATATAAATAATATATAACAAAGATATGTCTCATAAACTACGAGTCAAAAATATATGCTCCTTGCCATGAACTACAAGTCAAAAATCTCCTACATCAAAGATCTATCTAGCGTCCACTCGTGTTTAATATTTTGTTTATATAAAGAATTCGAGGCACATTTAAGCACCGAGATCAAAAAGCCACTAACATGGAGGAGCCTCCTCCCATGGCTAACCGCACACCTCGCCAGCGCAAAATCCAAGTCCCTCGTCAACATCCCGAAACGTCTCTAATTCTCGGCTGCCCAACTATGCACCAATTCGATTTTGCAAAACAAAATGAAATCGAGATTGCTAGGGAAAAATAAGAACCACTATCACAAATGATTCAGAAAAGATATAAGAACACGGCTGACTTCCATTAACCTCTGAGCTTGCAAAAGATTATATACAAAAGAGAAGAACACTCATGTCCAAAAAGTGGCAGAAAACAATCCACCGACATAAACTAGACGGCATAGTACATCACATATTCACATCGACCCAGCATCATACACCAGAAACTAGCTACTGCCAGGACTAAGTCTCTATTTCTTGGCCCTTTTGGCAGCAGGAGACTTGATAGACTTGGGCTGTTTAGGTTTAGCAGCTGCTGATTTCTTGGCTTTCTTAGCCCCAGCAACTTTCTTTGCAGAAGCCTCGGCTTTATTCACAGACCTAGTCTTTCTTGTAGTAGGTTTAACCTCTTTAGTCTTTTTGGCCTCTGGAAGCTTGTAAGATGCCCTGATCTTGATTAACTTTCCTCCTGTGGCAGAGTTTTTCAGCTGAAGACCTAAAATTTTCTTGAAATTTGCTGGGAGTACTGCTTTGTGCTTCTCTTCCATGTACTTTGCTATGGCATATGGACTCGACCCACTGTCATCATTCAAAGCCAATATAGCCTCCTTAATCATCTGCAATAATAATCCCAACTTAAATTAAACATCAGAACAAATATAAGTAACAGCGCATGCCTGTAAGAAATTAAAAAAACAGGAACACGAAGAAACCTAGAAATACCTAAAAATAAGGAGGATGAGCAGCAGGTTTTTGGTTAGCGCATGCTTTTAATAAAAACCAGGAACATGAAGAAACATTGAAATACCTGAAAATAAGGAGGATGAGCGGCAGGTTTTGGTTTAGGTTGTCTAGGCTTCTTTTCTCTGGGAGTCCTTGGCCTCTTTCCTTTAACGGGATTCTCCTCCACCTTAGGCTCCTCCGTAGCAGTTGGTTGCTCCACGACTGGAGCCTCAGTTTCAGCTTCTTCGGTGGCTGTCATGGTGATCAGGCAGAGTAGAAAACACACAACAAACAGATTGAAGAGAAGGAAATATAGAAGTTGCTGATATGATTCTCCTCTGTCATCCTTGAAAGACATTTATAGGAAGGGGACAAGAAAAGAGACTGGGTTTTGATTAGTCCATTTGGAGTCGAGGAGATTGGTGACGTGTACGAGGAGAGATCTAGAACGTACACGTGGAGATGAATCTAATGGCTGTTTATATTCCTTTTTATTAGGGAGTAAAATGGTAGGAGGATTTGGATTGTTGTGGATAGGAACAATGAGGGCACTTGGTTTTTGGTTTTCTTTACACGGATGATTAAAAAATGGTGTGTTTTTCGGTTGGATTCGGGATCAAAATTCTCCTGGCTTCTTAGGTTTCTTTCTGTGAAAATTTCATGAGATTGAAGCCTGGAAAGTGCTGATCAAAGTGTTGTTTGGATCGAGTAAAATGGCTGGCGTTTTGGTTATTGATTTTAAGCTATTGAAGAAACAGCAATATTTCTTTCCTTCTTTTGGTTCATAATTAAGACATGAGATCCTATTAAGCAGGCCATGTAGGTTTAATTGGCCATGTAGGTGGTTTTTAATATCATGCTGCGGCTATGATCACTTTCTTAAAAAACATCAAGCTATTACTAAAATGATTTTCATTAAAAAAAATTAAAACGACATCAAAATATAATTTAATTTAAAAAATTCAATACACATAAAGGAAAAGAAATAAATTAATTATCAGAGAAAGAAGGAAAAGACTAATTAATTATCAGAAAAGGAAAACACCACTGATTTAATTACACATAAAGGAAAGATAACTGATTACAAGACTTCCATAAAAACAAAACAATATTACTCCGCTCGCCGCGCCGTCGCCTTCCCATGCCGGCCATTTCAAGCAACAAGCACATATTCTCGTAGAGCTGGCGGGTGAACATATTTAAATTTCCTTTTCTTTGACGGGGATAATGACCAGCCTCGAATTCCTTATCTAGGATGAAAATTAAAAGGAAAACTATTTTGTTCAACACGAAGGTCAAATTAATAGCATCCATCATTTAATAATATAAGAATTTTTACAGATTAATCAGGAACCTCATCTTTATAGGACAAAAGGGTGAGCTTCAATTCTGAAACCCCATCCTTCTCCATGCTTTGAGGTCTGGCATGCAAGACAGACTCACCTATAAATGACGGATTTCGGCAAATAGAGGCGAGGGGATTAGATATCCAAATCAATATCTGTTATTGTATCTGGTCAAATTAAATTCAGTGTTACAACGGATAGAAAAAGGCTGGGGTGGTAATGTGGTGATTTTCAAGTCATTGATAGGAGCAGACAACCAATTAGTATCTCTAAGCTTTTGACCACAACACTGGCCCTAGCTTGAAAGGACACAGACTCTGCATCATATGACCAAAACAAGTTAGGATCATACCAATTAATAACAGATCACACATCAAATCACAAAATTTCATAACCCAACCTAAGATGGTTGCTGTTTCGATAGTTGATCTACACGGGCATCAATCCACGATGATTCAAACAATCAAGAGTCTTGTTCGGTTCGTTCACGTGGAAACCAGTATGACAAAACCCTGTGTCTTACAATAACCCAGGAACCAACAAGAACACACAAATTTCCCAGCTAAGATGAGTTAAACACATCCTCTGACCTGGGGCACACGGCCCAACACTTGAAGTGTAGCAAAAACTCCACTTACCTGGGGCACACGCCAACTCTTGAAGCTGGGGGTGGGGAACCCAGTCTCTTACCTTTTTGGAGCACAATGATGCAACAGTGACCGGAAGAGATACAAAGCATCCAATTTAAAGATACATTATGAGAAACAGATTCTATCAACTAATAGAAAAACATATTAAGAATGTATCAGTAGTTTCGCTCAAATTAATGTTCACTGCAGTGATAAAATCAAGATCCTCAACTCAAATATACATAAATGAGAGAAAAAAAATTGATTATCTAGAAATGGAAGGAGAGAACTCAGGAAATATGAGGGAGGAGAAAGGAGCAGCTGGGACAAACAAAAAGGCACACAACCCTGAGGATACATAAATTCAGCAACAAAACTCCGACGCCCTAGTGTACCCAAAAACCACTTTGAAAAGCACCTACGCAGTATTCTAAAATGCTCCCTAGTCCCTAAATTATAACAAAGGGTTCATAGATTATTATTATTAACATCACATAGAAAACCTTTACTGCTCCTAGAACAGAATGCCAGAATCAATTAAAGGTTATAAATTGTCATGAGGTCAAAACAATCTCCAAGGTACAAGGCAGATTTAAAAGCCATATCACGATGTCAAAACAATCTCCAAGGTACATTACATATCTAAAGAATTATTCAAAAATATACATTACATATCTAAAGAATTATTCAAAAATACACATACTAGATAAGAGATTCCTACCACTAATATGGTGGATGCTTATCACTACATTTGACAAACACCTCAAATCTCATGTATAGAAACCTGATTGACAACTCATGGTTCAACAGATTAATTAGGCCCTAACTGCATTCATCATTATGAGCTACAAGTCCCCTGCATTATGATTGATTGCAATGTATCGACTAGAAGTATTGTTGACCAACAAGAAAACATCATGCACCGAGAAGAAGAATTAAATATGCAAAATTTAACCAGTCATTAACATACCTACACAACTAAAATAAAAAGCTACTGCCATTGTTCGGTAGAACTACTGTGTCCACTGCAGGTAGAGTTTCTAGAAATGGATTCATTTTATAGCATGGAGCACCTAATCTTCTTGCATAGAAATCCAAAATCCTAACCACCATGCAACCATCAAGTATTTATTTATCATACAAAAGAATGATTTACAGATCCCCCCGACAAGAACAATTTGAGGCAAAAAAGGAAAATATCATTGAGGAAATACTTATTATTTTTGTTTCAAGTAAAGGAAATTACAAGGTAAACACAAATTATAACATGGTTTTCTACAACAAATCAATTGATAACAAACCTAAATCAACACTGCAACCCCACTGAAATCTAGGCGATCTGTATGATTCAAAATATTATGCCCCGCAATTTTGACAAAAAAGTAGCTAAAAGGTATCTAGGCAAGCTGTATGATTCAAAATATTATGCCCCACAATTTTGACAAAAAAATAGGTAAAAGGTAGTATACTCTCAACACATGCAATCAACCTCATCACTATCACAATGCCCCAACAGGAGATACGAGACTTGATCATTGTTTCAAGTCAGCACACCACGTTGCAATTGATATCTACCACCTTCCAAGTACATGAAGGAGCATAAACAAACATCAAATATTCAGATTATCAGGGATATAAATCAACTGTAGCATAGACTAAAATGCAATTGAGTACTATATAAGAACCTTTAAAACCACAATTTTTAGGATTCTATGCCATGTATCCTTATGATACAGTGAACTGTAGGCCATTACCACCATCGAAAACTGCTTGAAAGCTTTGAAAAGCAATTCAACTACTGAAGTTTAAAAGGCATACATATATTTCCTTGCAGGCACACCAATGCCATTTCTCCATCAATCCAATGCTAGTACAAAGTAAAAATCAGAATAAGAGACAGTTTTTACCTAAGAATCAATTCACCTTGAAATACAGATCTGTCTCTCTCACCACAAAATCTGTCAGTTCCAATCTCAACCCAAACCAAATGATTCTGTTATGTAAAGATACCATAAAGATCACTCTCAAAATACATAAAAAGCTAATGCTACTGAAAAATCAAAATATGTTATGGACCAAGCCAATTGCTAGTTCTCCTCATAAGAAATAATTAAATGAAAGGTGTTCAAAATCTCAATTTCACTTGGGGGCAATGCACCATTAAATAAAATGCAATTCCCAACAGTTGTGCTTCAGCAATAGGTGCATAAATTTTGAACGACCAGCCAAAATATCCAGGTGAACCAGTCATATGCATACTAAAGTAACCATTAATTTTAATAGAGTGAAAATCCATTCCAATTCAAAATAAACTCACACGAGACGGTGCATTTCAGATTTATAATTCCCATGTGGGCATAGAAGGTCTAAACCTTCCGTTTCTCTTGCAAAATTTTTAAGGAATCTCCACGAAGCCAGAACCAGTATGCTCAGTATTAACTTCACCTCCATGACTATAAGAAAAACTGACTTTAAACTTTGCACTTCCATAAACCATTGTCACCAATCTGTTATGTTTTGGCTTCCATCAACATCAATATTCAATCCATGATTCAGGAACATAAACACATAACCAAAAACTTTACTTTAGAATAATCCATAATGCAATCCATGATGTAAATCCTCAAGTAGTTCATACCTAGATCAAAGGGGAAAATGCCTATTCCAATCTCCAAAATATAGAGAGAATTCACTTGCTTAATCTATGTCCTTTGAAGACATACCCTAAACTAGACACAAACTCTCTGGACACTGCACCCAAAATTTCATAGGGAGAGAATATTGGAGTAAGGGAATCATGAGGAAAAATACAAGACATCAAAAAGATAAATGAAAGGCAGCTTCAACTACTTTCAGAACAGCAAGCCATTTGCCTATCACCAATGATTAGCATCCTGCTTTTCCAAGCCCACCTAGACACAATTGAAGTTAAAATCTTTAACTTCAAGAATCACATCCAATAGAGGAGTTAAAGCCACAAGGCAAATTGCAATTACCAGATTTGCTTGTGCCTAATAGTGGTAACCACCTCCATATGAGTGGTCCCTCCCATAGTAAGGTGGATATGGATCGTACTGCAACACAAACGGAAAACAAATACAATGAAACTGTTAGTAATTAAAATTTGACTCGGGATAAGCTATGGATTAATTGCTCACATCAGAACCACGATATTCATGAAAGTAGGGATCACTGCCTGCTCCATAGGTATCTGAAACATAAGCCATGAGGATGATAATATCAAAAACAATAAAACAAATAAAATAAACATGTCACAAAATGAAAATATCTGGGGACATCATAATCCATACCGCGATAATGTATCCCACGAAATGAAGCTGCCGGATCAGCATAATCTACTCGGGGATCAGCGAAATCTAACCGGGGTCGGAGCCTACTGGGTTCCATGTAATCAGGATCTTGATCCTAAAAGCATAGGAAAACTTCAAACTCTAAAGAATATAAAGGATGCACAAACAACAACAGAAGCTTAAAATTTAAAACAACCAACCAAATTCCAACTTTTAGGCCACAAAAAGAAATCCTTACAGTCATGTAAAATGATCGTTTCATCCCATGTGAACCATCATCATAAAAATAGGGGTCATCAAAGTGCCTTCCATTGAAACGTCTGTCAAAGGATTCTTCAGGAGAAAATGGTTGCCTCCTTGAAGAAACATAGCCCCTATGTCCTCGCTCAGGGATCTCGTGCCAAGCTCGATTGATATTAGATCTTGATGGCCCAGCAGCCATACCTCTAGTAGCTGTTTGATAACCTCCTCTGAAAGAACCCCTTCTTCCTCCTACTCAATACATTAATGTGAGTTAGATTTTTAATTGTGGCTGCGTGAAAGATCTGCATCTATTGGTAAGGAAGGGAGTGCTTGTGTGTATGTGAGCTCACTCAAAAAGAAAGAGGCCACTGAATACCTTGCCTCCCAGGAAGCATGTCATATCGATCATTATAGTCATACTCACGGGGACCCATTCTACTAGTTTGACCACGTTCTCGTTGATAGAAACCCCTACCACGTTGAAAATTCACCCAGTTTGAATGATGCCCGCCCCGCCCAAAACCCTTTCCTGTAACACAATTGCCTAAATCAAATGGAGACAAATGCATGCTAAGAAATATTCAAATCCTCAGGATCAAAGGTTACCAGATCTTAAATAATTTCCACTTCCAGAATGACCAATTCGAAAGCCACCACACATTCCACCTTTCACAGCCTGAGTTTTTGGCAATGGATTTGACAGCCTCGCTTTAACTCTCATCTGCCAGCACATGACAATATCATGATCTCAGTTCATACATCATCTCTTACCAAATTAGATACAAAAACGGTAAAACTTTATTGTACACCACGCAACTAAATGCATGCATTTCACAGGCATCAATCTGGAATGATCAAAGTCTACCAGGAAAGGATATGAAAATAAAACTAAAACTGATGAAAGTAGCAAATTGAAAAGAAGAAGATCTAGGTTACTCTAAACACATTTCCTCCACAACTCAATCCTTATTTTTGTTTCAAGTAGGAAAATGCCAAAATAATTTAATGAAACCTAGAAATAGCTTTCTAGATAAAGTAATTTTGTTACAAACACAAAAAAATAAGGAAAAGGAATGGGAAAAGAAACAACTACAAAGTAACATATATTACCTTTGTGTTACCATTTCCAAATTCTCTATTATTTATTCCTTCAATACAAGCGACTGCAGCTTCATGCGTAGAGAAGTCGACGAATCCAAAATCCTTTCTCTTGGCGGTTGACATATTCCGTGCCAGGACAATTCGTACAATCTCCCCATAACCTTTCACACAATCCCTAACATGGTCTTCATCCCAGTGAGGAGGAAGGCCATCAAGAAATATAGTCTTCACCTGAGCCATAATTTCAGGGTCAGGCTCACGTATAGGTTCAGAAAATGCCACTTTGGCAGTTCTCTCTGGATGACCAAATACAACATCAGGCTTCTGAAGCCTCTTGTATGCAAGCATTGCATCAGCATGACAAGCAAACTCAAGAAATGCAAAACCACGACTTCTCCCTTCATGTTGAGCATCTGGTACAACAGTGATGTTCTCAACACCTTCAACGCCATAATCCTTCAACTTTTGTCTTATCTGCCAACCCACATTATATTATAAATCATTGAAAAAATCTAAAAACAATCAGGAAATACAATTATTAGATGCTCACAGCTTCCTTTGTCCATGTGTTGCATATATTTCCCAAGAACAATGTATCATTGTCCTCACTTGGTGCTGTCCCACATCGCTTTCCACGAATCTGTGAACAGTTGAGGAGTTAATATGATACTAATAAAACGTAAGCCAAAACTATGGAGTGATACATACCACAGGGTTTTTCATTTCAGACAAAGCGCGTTTCACATGCCCCTTGTTTGCATATTTCACAAATGCATATCCCTTATTCCTATTTGTTGAAAGATTTTTGTGTAATCGAACTTCAACTACTTCACCAATCTTCTCAAAAACCTTTCTCAAATCCTCCTCTGTAGCATCCCTATCCAATCCACCAACAAATATCTCATATTCTTTCTTAATCTTACGCTCCTTTGCAACAGCTGTTAGTTCTCTGTGTTCCTCTTCCATTGCATCAGCTTCTTCAACAGGCTCATCTGGATCTTCAAAGTCATCCTCAACAGGATCTTCAAAGTCCACTCTATCTCCATACTCCTCATAACCGTCATCACCACCATACTCATCTTGCTCGTGTTGAGTCTCTTCTCTTCGAACCTGTTCCTCCATACTTCCTTCCATCTTAACAGCCTCATTTCTGGCCTCCACTTCATCGCCCACGTCTTTCTTCTCACCCTCGTTAACCCCCTTTCCCACTCTGTTAGGTTCTTCATTCTTAGATACCTCCGCAACCTCATCAGCAGGTATATCCACCACAGTTCGTTCCCTTTTAACAGACTCCCCAACCCTAACATTAACCGCTTCAACCTCCTTCCTAGAATCGACTACAGGTTCTTCCACACTTTCCTCCTTAGATTCTTCCACTCCCATTGCAACTCCTTCCTTCTTTATAGATTCTCCAACATTATCAACAGCAAGTTCCTCCTCCTTTTCCCTTTCTTCAACATTAGACTTCGCAGCAACCACAGTTGTCGAGGTTTGCTCCAAAAGAGCTTTTGCATTAGCAGGGGTTTTCTTCACTACCTTGATCACTCTCCTCACAACCTTCTTCTTAATCGGAAGAGGTTTTGTAGTTTCCAGTGTCACCATACTCACATCCGTTTCTATATTTTTTCCATCAACTAGTATTAAAGAAAATAGCAAACATCAATAAAAACCTAAAAATCACATCACAGGACAAGAAACTTTAAAAAAACCTAATTAAGAATATTAAACTAGTTGAATAAAAATAACACTACAATTAATTATTTATTTGCATGAAAGAATGGAATAGTTATCGTTACCTGATGATTGTTCAAGTTTCGAAGCAGAACCGGCAATTGGCGACGGTGTCATGTCGTTATTTTGTGTCTGCTTGGCGTTGGGTGGAGTTTTTGGAACCGGTGATTCCTCGTTGGCAGAATCAGTAGCGGCTTTGACAGCGGCAGGTTTCCTTCCCACCGGCGTCTTTTTAATTGCGGCTGGTTTTGTAGTTTTCATGTTGACACACCCTGTGAGAGGGAGAGAATATCGGCTTTGAATTTATTAATATTAAGATTGGTTAATTTTCTTCATTTGATTGATTTTACAATTTTCTTAAGAATAAAAATTACGGGCTTGCGGAATTATGTTTAGACAGGAAGATAGATCACTTACAAAACCCGGCCCGGCCTTGACGTTCAGTTTGGCAGCGGTACTATATTTAAAATCAAGTTAGGTTATAGTAAAAAAAAATTTTCCTACGCGGGGTTGTCTTTTAAGCTTTTTTTTTTTTTCCTACGCGGGGTTGTCTTTTAAGCTTATTGTGTCTTTGTTTTTATTGTCCAGAAAGGTTTTTTAAAAAATATTATTTTAATTAATTTTTTTACTTTAAATCATTTTAATATGTTAACATTAAAAAATAAAAAATATTTTTTAATAAAAAATATGTTAAAAATAACAATTACTATAATATGAAACACTATTTTAGTTATGAAAAAGATAAAAATGAAGAATAATGGCCTGGATTTGTGGTGGGTCTGTGCTATTTTAATCCTTGCAATATGCTAAATGCTAGCCTTTGTACATTATACATGATTGACTATAAGACAGATGATTAAAGAGAAAATTACTGTTGAAATGGATGGAAATTTTTGTAGTTGGTGTAAAAAAAATTCATTTTAATTCTTATACTTTTTCAATGATGTCTTTTTAAGTCCTGAAATTATTGAGATTTAACTTTGGTGAAAGCTTTATTTTTATTTTTATTTTTTAATCCTTAATAAAATAAAAAAGAAAGGAGGGTTGGTTGGATTTCTTGTTAAAATTCATATTATTATCGACTTTGATCATAAAAAAAGTTGATCGTGGTATCTATGTGTTCCACAATAAAAATTTAATTTAAGTATTATTTTACCTTAAAATTTATTAAAAAAAAAAGATATGACCTTTTGGATATTTTAAGTTTTGACTTAAGTTCTTGTTTTCAAAAAATTATTTTGCTTTGTTTCGGGGAATTGAAGGGTTTATATGCCTATCTAAGTTATTTTGTAAGTATTTTAAAATAAAAAAATAAAAATAATAATAAATTTTAAAGATTGAAAACCTCTGACCTTAATTTTCTAACTATCCTAGAGATATAAACAACGAGTCATTTATGTTATGTATATATATATATAGTTAGTTAGTTAGTTAGGCAAATAAAAAAGATTTAAATGGAAGATGAATGGATCTGTCCTTGCAAACCCGGATTTATATGCTTTCAGGCCCAAATATCTGTCATTGCATAAGATCCAAGAATTGGTTCACTGGGCCTACACTTTTGAGTTTCTTTTTGAAATGTTTTTCTTTATTTTTTAAAAAAATTTATTTTAAAGAAATTAAAGCCCAAATAATTTTTTAAAAAAAGAAATTATACATCAATAATTTTTTAACGGATTATGGTGGGATAAAAGAATTTTTTTCTCAGTTGTTTTTTAAAAATCATAATTGTTTTAATGAAATTATTGTAATTTCATAATTCAAGTTATGTATATACAAGTTAGTCTATGTTAGTTTGAATTTTTTTTGTTGTTTTTTAAAAATTTTGTACTTGAATAATGGGTTGATTGGTAACTGGTCTTTGTATTTTTTTTTTATTTTTTTAATAGAAATATCTTGTTTTCATTACTCGAATTGTGAATTTGACCATTTTTCTTAAATTTACTTGAGTTGTGTTTTTGGGTTTTTTAAAAAAAAATTGAATATTTTTTAGTTTTTATCCTTCAATATTTAATTAAATAAAATTCATCTTTCTAATTTTATTTGATTTATGTTATATGAAATCATTATAATTTTAATCTTGTAAATCAAGTTGTAAGTCGATGCAGTATGTCATTATTTTTTTTTTTTTTTTAAATGTCATATGGTATGTAGCTATTTTAATATTTTAAAAGTATATTGTCCAATATCCACAGCATCTTTATATTTTTACTATTAGAGAAAAAAATAAACTATAACATAGTGTGGGCTAGAGAGCTAGCTCTCACCTCATTAATAATTGATTTTATCATTTAAAATTGAATATTATAGAGTGAAATGAAGAAAATTACCATGCATGGGCATATACTTACATACCCATTTTGATATGTATATACACTAGCTTAGCCCGTGTATCAAACTAAAAAAAAATTAAAAGCAATAAAAAAGATATTCATAAAAAATTATATAGTATTTTTATTAAATTTTTTTAAATAAATCAACCTTATAATATGACTCCTTACCTATATTAGGTTTTAAATTAGATATTATTAGAGTTGCTTCGACCGTAACTTAATTGACATGATTAGTTTAAAAGTGCATTCAGGATGAAAAAAAAAAAAAATTATGAAATTGATATGAATATTATTTTACTATTGCTTGGAACAAGTTTAAAATTAAATTTTCCAAGAGTTGTTGTGACATGATTCAATCAACTTAACCAATTTAAAAATAACCTAACCGACTGATAAAAAAATTTACAAATAAAATTAAAAAAATAAAAATAATATTGATAAAAAGGAATTTCTTATTTTGATTCTTTACTTAATTTAAGTTTAAAATTAAATAATATAGGAGTTGTATAGACTTTGTTATGACTCGATTAATTTAATTTATCTAAAGATAATTTGTATAATTATTAAAATAAATATAAAAATAAAATTAAAAAACAAATAAGGAGGAAGTGGGAAAAACTGAGAGGCTAATTTTTTTAAAAAAAACTAGCCAAGCTGGGTAACGATTCCAAGTATGAAAGTAATATTGGTGCTTGATATTATTTTTATTTAAGTGTTCGGGGTATATATAAATTAATTTGCGCGCACTGTAAACCCATTTATTTATTAAATCCAGCTAGGACTTAAAAATTTTATACTAATTTTATTTTTCATAATTTCACTTGAGATTAAAATTATAATAATCAATAAAAACAAATACCTAAATCATTAAACCAACCCCTTTAATTTTATGATATTTTAATATCTAAACAACCTTAATATTGAAACCTATCGTACCTGAGAGATCGAAAAGCCACAAAACTAAAATCCGTCGAATCAACCCACTACGACAACTAGGAGTCCCAGACTGACGAGTACCGGCCCCTTCTGCGATTCCCCGGCGGTGTCGAACCTTTAGTTCTCGGTGGAGATTGAAATACACGCGCAAACGTTCTTCTGAAGAAGAGAATTGAAGAAGTAACATGGGTGCCTCAGAATCTAGTCTTTCAAGTTCACAGGTAATTCTTCTAATTTCAGTTATCGTTTACAATAAATTTGTCACTGTTGAATAATTTGCTTGTTGTATGGTGTAAAGAAAATGACAGACGAAATCACTACTGTCACTGAGAGATCAGAAGCTTTGGATCCCATTTTGGAGAAGCTCAAATCCCTCAAAATTGTAAGCTTTTTATTATCCTTTAAATAATCCCAATTTGGAGACATACACTATCTTTTTGTTCAAAAAAATTAGTTTTTTTTTTTTTTTACTTCAGACAAGGCCAATATTAACTTCAACTCCAAAGGAAGAGGGTAGCTTGAATGACATTTTGGTGAGGAAGGCATCGTCTTCTTCAGCTCTTGGTGAGTCTCGGACTTGCTTTATCTCTCCATTTCCTTCTTGCATTAGACTTTCTGCATTGAAGCCTTGAATAGAAGTTAGAATGTTAGATAAACGTAAATTAATCCGCTCTCTTTACTCAGTGAGTGAAGAATGATTTGAACAAAGATATCTACTGATGAAACAGAAAAGTAACTAGCTTTCGAATGTGTGTGAGTGTTCTTAACTTCAAACACTCGAGGGTTTGTTACATTATCCATGTTCCAGATAGAGAAAAGAAAAGAATCGCAGGTTTGGTGCTTTTTTTCTCTCCTAAACGTTTTGTTTAGAATGAAATTAATGCGATGCCAGGCTGAATGGTAGCTGTTCGATGTGGTTTTTAATGTGATGTATATTGTTCAGGGGTGTAATTTTGCAATGTTACTTGTTGTGTCTTTCCCATCCCTTTTAAATTTGTTTGAGAAAGGCTAATCTTTTCAATTGGTATATGCATGGGTGTTGTTTATAATGGTCAATGCAGCAACTGTAAATCCAAATGTGTTATTGGAGCTCTTCTCAATATATCGTGATTGGCAAGAGGGGATGGTTCAGCAGATAAGCACGAAACAGGTTTGTCTGTCATCAAGAACTACTATGAATAGAAGACCAGTTTATAAAATGAAGTTAAATTGTAAAGGCGTGGGATGGATCATATGATCTTGTGGTCGCGGGTTCTCAGTGGATTCTATGTTGATTTTCAGTTTTTTATCTGATGCAGTTTTTGATATAAGTTAAGATCCAGGTTGAATTTTATTACTAGGATGTATTCTTCCCTCATGGACATGGTCCATGGATGATGATAAATTTCATATTGGATCTGTAAAAAACTTGTTTAAAGGCTAGGACCACATTTAACTGAATTTTCTACGTAGTGGTTGCAACTCTTCAATGCTTATGTTTAGGTTTTGGTGAGGCATCAGTGGAAAGTAGCCAGCTATATATGATAGAAACATGAAATGTCCAATCTGCTGTTAAAGAAACCAGACGATCTGGTTTTACTTCATATACACGCAATTCTGGATGACCTTATTCTTTAATAGATCAGGTTCAAAGAGTGTAAACAAGGTTCTATGTCAAAAAAGACATAACTGATGAACCATGTGAACTGTTACTCTTTTTTTGCCCATGAATATGTGGAACCACTGATTCTTAACTGGATTGTCTGAACTAGAGCGCAACAACAGCCACAGTATGTTGATGTTTCAAATCCTTTTAGGGGGGTGCTTTCACCTGGAAAACTTCTTTCTCTTTTACGAACATTGATTCGGTGAAAACTATTGCAGGAGGAGATAGAAAATAAGATAGAAGTGGCAGATGCTTTGGCAATTAAACTTCTTCAAAGGCTTAACTACTCTGTGTCAGCAATGAAGACTTCTTCACAGCATCTATCAGAAGGTAATAACAACATACCGAATGGGAATGGATTACTGACGGATTATGGAACCAGATGCATAAATTATTAGAGAATTGATTGTCTCTCAGTAGTGTTTGCCTTTCGGCTCACTACAGTTTGATGAGCCACTAGTACTGATCTCAGTTTCTTATTCTAACTGCATCTTTGATCAACTTTATTTACTTGGGACAACACATGCAGTTCATTCTCTGCAGGTGGAGATTGGGGAGCTGAAAGGGAGGTTGACTGAGGTTATGAGTAATTGTGATGCGTTGTGCAAGAGAATTGCTGCAGAGGGGCCAGAATCTCTTCGTTCATCTGTTAAGCCATTTGCAACTGCCGCAGTTGACCCAGAGATCAGATCGAGCTCATCATCTGTCCTAAAATCCAATCCACCTGCAAATGAAGCCAAGTCAGACTAAGTGTTTTACGTTCTCCTTTCACCTTGTTTATTTTTCCCTTTTATTTAGTCATTTGTTTAACCCACAATCTCCCTTGAGATCGAAATTTGCCCCCATTGCTAACAAGCAACGTAGTAGAAAAGGACAGGCAACAAGTTGTGATTCTTTTTTAAGCCATCCTATCAAGATAGATTCCCCGTCAAGTTACTGAAAGTATTGACCTGCTGAAGTAGACAATTTGTTGTAATTGTTGTAAAACGTGAAGATTGTACCGCACCGACATGAGTTCAGATCTGATAAAAACGGGATAGCCGGTGTTTTTTAAAATAGTTTTTATTTAAAAATATATCAAAATAATTTTTTTATATCAGCAAACTTATGAAACACACTAAAAAACCAAAAAATTATGGAAGTGATGTCTTAATTTTTTTAACAATAGAGGACAGGCAACAAGTGAGCTCACAAGGGCCGCAACCCCACATCTACCATTCTTTCTTCTCAGCATTTAATTTAATGGTGATGCAAATGGGCAGAGAAGCCAGCAGCGTGTTCCAAATTGATCCGAATGGTTAAACAATAGCATGTACATGTGCGCCATCGTTTTCAATTACTTACAATGTGCAAGCTGCTGCCTGCCGACACAAACAGTTACAGAATGATCTTGTACTGGAACAATGCAGGTCTCAAATGCAAGCCACAATCACGAACATAATTTAAGGAAAGAACAGCACACTAGCCACCCCAATTCACTATTTTAAAACCTATTTCTTGGTGTTTAGTTCTGGCTAACCCGGATTAACATGTGATCCAGCTAGTCTGAGAATACTTGTTGATTTTTAAATTAATTTCTTCAAAATTATGTTAATAAAAAAATTGAAGCCAAGTCGACCAATCTAATTCAAAACCTTAGACTTGCCCTTGGTGAACCGGAGTTGGGTTTAAAAACAATGCCCTAACCCCACAACCAATTCTCTTTCATTTCCATTTTATAGAGGTAGTAAAATTGTCAGATTTATCAAACAGTCTGCTCGTCATAACACATAATTTTCCTGAAAAAGGCAAGAGCAATGATATCAGCATTGAGTGTTCATGTTTAACTTGAACCACAAACACGTCCTCATGGCCAGACCCAACATGCATCAAGTGCCAATCAGTACAGAAAGCACCAGCATGGAAGTCTTGAAACCTTGGTTATCTCTCAAGCAGAAGAAATGAAGACAGTAAAGACAAAGGATGTATATCTTTTCATGCTTATTAACAAATTGTTTATTTCTATTCAACCAAACACTTTGCATCTCTAGTTTATGTTCATTGTTTGGTAGCATGTCCAGTCACTCGGTTGGTCGCACTACCATACAGGCAGTAAGTGTGTAATTGCAAGCAATAATACGACTTCAACGTTTTGTAGTTAATTGCACAAAATTCAGATCCAATCTGATATGATTTGATCTCACATTCAATTCACAAATTATGAAGAAGGAAAAATAAGGAACGCAAAAATTAAAAATCCTCCTATAAACTTGAAATGCATGAAAAAAAAAAATTATGACTAACAATTCAAAGCGGGGACATGAACTCCATAACTTAATTTCTGAACCAGAGGAGAGCACCGGATGTATCAGTTCAAGGTTGTTGCTGGGCATCCATATAGCCAGCATCAACAAGAACCTTCTCCCTCTTAGCTAAATCAATATCTTCATCAACCATCATCTTCACCAATTGCTCAAACCCCACCTTAGGCTTCCAACCAAGCACTTTCCTTGCCTTACTCGAATCCCCTTTCAAATTATCCACTTCTGCAGGCCTAAAATACCTCTTATCAATCACAACATGATCCTTCCAATTCAATCCAACATATCCAAATGCCACATCCAAAAACTCCTCCACCGTATGCGACTCCTCCGTCGCAACCACGTAATCATCAGGCTTTTCCTGCTGCAACATCATCCACATTGCTTCCACGTAATCCCCTGCGAAACCCCAATCCCTCGACGCCTGCAAGTTCCCTAAAAACAACTTATTCTGCAACCCCACCTTAATTCTCCCAACAGCTCTCGTAATCTTTCGGGTCACAAAATTCTCTCCACGACGTGGAGATTCATGGTTGAAAAGAATCCCATTGCAAGCATACAACCCATAAGCTTCCCTGTAATTGACAGTATACCAATGCGCCGCGCATTTTGACGCCGCGTATGGGGATCTTGGATGAAACGGGGTGGTCTCTGATTGCGGAGGCGGCGTAGATCCAAACATCTCCGAAGATCCCGCTTGGTAATACTTGATATGGCTCCGCCCTGTCGCGGCAATATGAGATCTCACCGCCTCAAGAAGGCGGAGGGATCCGGTGGCGACGACATCCGCCGTGTAATCAGGGATTTCGAAAGAGACAGCCACGTGTGATTGGGCTGCCAGGTTATAGACTTCGTCGGGGCTGATAGTGTCGAGCCAGCGACGGAGAGACGACGCGTCGCTTAGATCGGCATAGTGGAGTTTCATTCGGGCCTTATGAGCATTGTGTGGATCTATATAAATATGGTTAATCCGCTGCGTATTGAAATTGGATGACCGACGGATCAAGCCATGAACTTCATAGCCTTTGTTCAGGAGGAATTCGGTAAGATAAGAGCCATCCTGGCCGGTTATACCGGTGATCAGGGCGATTTTGGGTGTGATCTCGCCGTTGGCAGGGGTATTGGAGTCGGATCCGGGTTGGTCTGATTCGGATGCCATTGATGGATGGTCAGATGGCGTTGATGGGTTTTTTATATAATGCGAGCCTGTGGATTTGGCCTGTTGATGGAGGGGTTTAATATAGCGGGAGGAAGAGGATGGTGGAGAAGGGCAGAATGGTCAATATGAGGAAGGTGGAAAATGAGTAACAATGAAGTGGATGGTGACGTGTCGATATCTTGAGCCGAATTGACGATTTTGGGCTTGATGATGGAAGCGGTGGGATTATTGGTGAGATGCGCTAACATGTTATTGGCCGTGTTGTGTTTTGTTTTGCACGATGTGAAGTTATGTTATGTTTTTTAAGAATAAAATATATAATTATATGAAGACTGAGTATTTTTCCAATATAATATTTCATTGACAACCTAATATATTTGCTAAATAATTAATGTTTGCGGGAGTAATTGTGATGTATTATGTTAATTTTTATAATTTTTAACACATTTAATTCTAAGGAGTTATTTTATTGGTTAAGAAATGACACTTATAAAAACTATATAAAAAGACAACAAAAAAAAATAAAATGGAATTTTATTAAAGAGTTTATCACGCAAAATTTAAATTTCAAGTTTTATTACTAAGTATTTTTATTCAAATAGTATGTAATTAAATACATCTATTTATACTATTCACTGATTTATCTTGGATAGAAAAAGAATCCTAATAAATAATTATACAGAGATTCATAAATTAAATAGAAAATGTAAAGTTATCAAGCACAGTATTTTCTAAATATAAATGATTTAAAATAATTGGTAGGGGCAAAATTGATACTAACCCAATAGCGGAGGTACCTTTTTGAGGTTTTCCCAAACCGTATTGATAATTTTCCATATCTGCCTGTTGCTAGCCTGTCCCAACGCAGTCGCCTGTGATTGCCTTACCAACCATTTCTCAAGGTCAAGAAAGGGAATCAGTTGCGCATGTCTTGTAACTTTCTGGACAATTGACCCAAGAAAATCATGATCAAGACTAGTGAACTGGGAAGCAACTCGGTAGAAGATGAAGAAGCCAGTCATGTCACAAAAATGTGGGAGGTGAACAAGGATCGCCTGAGCTTGATGCGCCAAAAAATCTCCGATCCACCACAGTTACTGACAAAAGCAGCTGCTAACAGTTCATGTTGCATCTTTAAAGTCCCCCAAAGATTCATTGATATCAACGGTAAGTCCTACCAACCTCATATAGTCTCAATAGGGCCTTATCATCATGGTGAGGCGCGTCTTAGGATGATTGAAGAGCACAAGTGGGGGTATTTAGGGTCTATGCTCTCCAGGACACAGAACAACGGTTTGGACTTAGAAGTCTTGTTGAGGGCAATACAGCCGCTAGAAATGAATGCAAGAGAGTGTTACTCGCAAATTATCCATCTTGAGACTTATGAATTTGTTGAAATGATGGTTCTTGATGGCGTTTTTATTATAGAATTGTTTCGTAAAGTTGGAGATGTAGTTAGATTTGAGGCCGATGATCCCATTGTTACCATGGCATGGATCATACCATTTTTTTACAGGGACTTACTTAGACTTGAGAACCAAATTCCTTTCTTTGTTCTTGAGCGTTTATTTGAGATAACAAGAACGCCTGGAGAAGAATCTGGCCCTTCTTTGAGCAAGCTTGCTTTAGATTTCTTCAATGATGCACTGCAAAGGCCAGATTATATTATTGCTAAGCATAATAATCTCAAAGCCAAACATCTACTTGATTTAGTTCGTTCAAGTTTCATAGATTCTGAGCAAGCCCAGCCACGTTGCGTGGACACATCAACTCCCATGATCCAATCTGTATCCAAACTTCGCCGTGCTGGAATTAAGGTCGGTCAAGGGGATCCTGCGGATAGTTTCTTGGTGGTGAAATTCAAGAACGGGGTGATAGAAATGCCTACCATAACCATTGATGATACTATGACTTCTCTTTTGCTTAACTGTGTAGCATTCGAGCAGTGTCACAGTGGTTCTTCCAATCATTTCACGACCTATGCAACTCTTCTAGACTGCCTGATCAACAGCATTAAAGACGTAGAGTATCTGTGTGACTGCAATATTATTGAGAATTACTTTGGCACTGATTCAGAAGTTGCAAGATTCGTCAATGATTTGGGCAAGGAAGTAGCATTTGACATCGAAAGGTGTTATTTGTCCGAGATGTTCAGTGATGTTAACCAATACTACAAGAATAGATGGCATTTGCAATGGGCAAGCTTCACGTTTACTTATTTTCGCACTCCTTGGTCTTTTATATCAGCAATGGCTGCCTTGATTATCCTGCTCCTTACAGTGGCTCAAACCTTCTACACTATTTATGGCGCTTACAAAATCTAAACCCTCGATGTAACCTAAACCCTCTATGTATAACATAAATCCTCTGGGAGCTTAAAGAAGATATACTATTATAATTGATACATTGTGAAGTTTTTTGCTTTCTTTTTTCTCATTCCAATTATTTCGCAGAAAGGTCAATGATCACAAGGGCTCCACCATGACGTTCAATGAGGTCGTACGTGGCAGCTATCAATTAGGTCCATCGATATGAATAAATAAGAAATAGTACTGATCGATCATC